ATATATATGTATATATATATAATATATACATACATACATACTGTATATGTTTATTTAAATATGTTTATATTTAGCTGGCCTTTTGCTTTTGTTAGGTTTTTGCTACTTTTATCATTCAGTTAGCCATGTGTTGCTTGTATCTGTTTTTTGTAATTTATGTGGCATTTTGTTACCTTAAGCTTTTAGCTTGTTTTATTTTTTGTTTGTTTTAGCTAGCCAACTTTTGCTGCTGTTAGCTTTTAGCTGATCCTTTTATCTTTTAGTGTTTTTCTGTAATAAGTCAGTTTGTTTAGTTTGTATCTGGATCAAAGAATGACCTCAGTGAAGTCAGATTTATTATCTTCTGAAACTCAGATTTTCTCAGGTTTTATTTATTTAAATGTTTTGGAAGTGTGTTGAAGAGTGGGCGGAGCTTCACTCTCCTGTCCTCACCTGGACGAGTGAAGTGGGCCAGCGTTTGAGTGAAACCCTGGGGGAGTCGGACTGTGGGAGAGGACTTCTGTCAGAGCTTCAGGACATGAAGAAGAGCTGGGAACAGATCAGAGCACAGCTCCAGACAAACAAACACCTGGCTGCTACTGCTGTCCAGGTAACACACCTGTCTGTGCTGCACACCTGAGCTTTAATACACACKGAACTTGGTCAAATGTTAAACACGTTTAAAGTTTAACGATTAGGACCACAGTTGGTTAGTGGGGCTGATGTTTAATAAAAGATACGTTTTCTTAATTAGGTTGTAGAAACTGTGAGAGGAGGAGGATGATGATGGTGATGATGATGATGATGATGGTGATGGTGATGATGATGATGGTGATGATGATGATGGTGATGATGGTGATGATGATGATGGTGATGATGATGATGGTGATGATGGTGATGGTGATGATGGTGATGATGATAGGTGGTGGAAAATAACTACAATTCAGGTTTTATTTAACACACAAACTAAATTATTAACAATGAATCTGCTTTCAATGACCTCAATCCTACACACACACACACACACACACACACACACACACACACACACACACACACACACACACACACAGGAGCTGTGTGTTGTCGAGCCCTGAGCTCCTGACAGGAAGGATCAAATCTCATCCAGATCCTGATCCAGCTGCTGGTCGTTCCATCAGTGAACACCCCCCCCCCCCACTGCTCTGCGTGTGTGAGACCCTGACCCACATAAAGCACAGACTCCTCCTCCTCCTCCTCCTCCTCCTCC